ACTGTTTTGGCCCCTTTCATACTCGGCAGGGCCGCAAAGAATACAAACGGTATGGTCTTCTCTTCACGTGCCTATGTTCCAGAGCAGTCCACATAGAGATGTTGGACGACATGACAACTGACGCGTTCATTAATGCCTTACGGTGCTTCATAGCTATCCGCGGCGCTGTGCGACACATCAGATCGGATCGGGGTTCTAACTTCGTGGGAGCAAAAAATGAAATTGCAAACGCCCTGAAGGAAGTCAAGACAGAGTAGCTGCATATCTGGCAGATAGGCAGTGTGACTTCCTCATGAATGTGCCAGGCTCAAGTCATGCTGGAGGAGTATGGGAGCGGCAGATCAGGACAGTCAGAGGTGTACTGACCACAGTCCTTGCTCACAGTGTGGGAAGATTGGATGACGCCTCTTTAAGAACCTTCTTTTACAAAGCCATGTCCATTGTAAATGGCCGCCCACTCACTGTCGACAACATCAGCAATCCTACAAGTCTGGAGCCGCTAACTCCAAATCATCTGATCACCATGAAGTCATCTGTTCCACTTTCTCCATCAGGCAAGTTTGTTAAGGAGGATTTGTATACCAGAAAACGCTGGAGAAGAGTTCAATATCTGTCCGAACAATTTTGGAACAGATGGAGAAAGGAATATCTGGCCAACATTACTCTCAGGCAGCGATGGCACGGTCCAAGACGGAACATGAAAGTTGGTGATATCGTGATAGTCAAAGAAGAGGACATACCCCACAATGAATGGAAACTTGCCAGGGTTCTTAAAGCACATGAGGATGATGATGGACTGGTGCAGAAGGTTTCAATACAGATTGGGGTGCAGCAGTTGGGGAAAAAGTGTGAACGCCTCAACAAGCCATCCGTTGTTGAAAGACCGATTCAGAAGTTAGTTGTTCTAGTGGAGAGCAGTTAGGAAGCAAACAATTGCTAGAAACATATATATTTCCTCTTTAGGCTAAGGGAATATTAAAGTTGATGTAGCCTCAGTTATGTAAATTCTATTGTGAACTTGTACTGTTAATTCATTTGTTCAGTTGTTCAATATAGTATATATGTGTGTTAAGGGAAAGGCAAACAAGAGAAAAGAGTTGAAAATTACCATTGATTTATTTGATGAACATCATATTGTATATTGACATCTGCATATGTGTTTGAAGGTAATTTGGTGGGAGTGTAGCTGATGCTCAAAGTGCCCTTATTTATTGTTCTGTATTTTTTGAAGAGTGTTTAATGTATGCTTGAACTTTGTTTTATTTTGTAAAAATAATAAGAGTTGTCTTTCCGGAAGTCATGTGACCTCTTGCCCCGGATGTTAATATTGTGTTTGTGAGAGAGTAAAAGGGCGCTAAAAGTGTCAACGATGTGATAACGTAATTCTACTGCTGGTCTACTAGGCGAACACGTTTTCACGGTGTTTCATGATTGTACAAAGAAGAGAATAAACGTGATTGTGGACATCAGTTCGATACGTAAAGTTCTTTCAAGACCAGAGTAGTTACACAGCTTGAGCTCATTCCTACACGGCAGCTTTTTATACATTTATCCTTTATTCTGAGTATAGTATGATCAGCAATAATCTGCGTCATGTTTTCCTGTTTTCCTTGTTTCAGAGCAGCACTTTAGCTGTGAGACAAAGGAAGCAGTAATGAGATACATTTCAGGAGAGAGACCTATGAATTAGTAATGATTTCTTAAGTGGATTCTGCTCCGTTTTCCTTTGAGGCACTAGATGTGAGTTATGAGAACATGCAAATTTGAGTCTGTGTGAAGCCCCACTTTCTTTGTTGTATGACAAATGAGTTAATGTGGATAAGTTGTGACTTCATCGCTTCTTGAAATGACCCTCTTTGTATGAAAAACGTTCATTTAAACAACACTATGCCAAAATTATCTTTCACTTAAAGCCTGAACAGTTATATAATCCGGTGTTGACTCTCTGGCTTGTTTTGACACTTTTAGTCACACAGTCCCTTGATGTAGTAGATTTTTCTCAGGAGGTATTTTATGCTTTTAGATGCCATGAAAGTGTCATGCAAGGCAGTGGTTTAAATTAAGACCATAGACATTGAAACACCAACTTTTTAGTGCCTCAAGGGGAAAGTAAATTGTCTGAGTTGCATAACTCCAAAGTTCATTATGACTATGTGGGAGTCAGATTATGCTTAATTGGGCCTTCAAGGAAAATGGTTGTGTGACTTGATCATTTCTGCATTTATCATCTCCTAAATAATAATGAAACCTCAGCAGGTGGTGCAAGTCACGCATTTTAAAAAGTACTTGCAGTTGTCAGGGCCAATACGCATATCATTTAAAGAAGCCCTATTACACTTTGTGGGTTTGGCTCCCTTTCCTCCCAATCAGCGATCAGGGGCGTTCACTCCCCAGCTAACCCAATCACTTTCGTGTTTATTCCCACAAGCCAATCATAGCCCCAGGGTTTACGTCAAGCTTTAACCACTCCCCTTCAGACCGACTTCCATCAATCCCTTCATGCCTCCACCACCACCAGTGTCTGGACCCGAGGGGGATTTTTATCGGCTTGTTTTTCCCCTCCCGAATGAAACTATCGCACAACCGGGTCTAATCGCCAAACACCATTACATTCATCTGTGTATTCTTGGCAATAAATACTATCGTTACATCAAAACAACTCAGATCGAAATATAGGTTTTTGTGCATGTAAATGGTCTGCAAAGGCTAACATGTGTTCCCTCCAGAGGGAGTTTCTCTCCAACACAATCCCCCCCCTGCCTGAAACCCCTCCATTGGTCTCCTTTGTTTACCTCCTTAACATAGTGACATCACTATGTAACACTTCTATTGGCTACTGCTCCAACACATTGTAGGAGATAGGCTAAGGGGCGGGACATCACTTGGTTGACCAATCACAGAGTGTGCATCAGCACAGGCAGTATGAGAAAAAAAAAGCACTTTCTGGACATTAAAGCATGTAAACATGTCACAGTAGAGACACACAATAAAAATATGAACCTGAGAATGAGCAGAATAGGGCCCCTTTAATATTGATGTACCCAATATAAGTCTGGCTGGGGACATTCATTGTACTTTATCCCCCCTCTCTCCTTACACTGTTTGTTAGTTATGGCTCTAGGGATGACACAATTGTTCTCTTGGTTCTGCTCCACTTTGGTTTAGACTAAAATATCCCAGCTACTGTGTGAAAGCCCCTTCAGTCTTGTTAATGACAACCTTAGGTACTATATATATGTGAGGATCACCTGACTAAAGATTCAAGCCTGACACCAGAAATACTTTTATAAACAGTTTGTTTTTATTCATCACAGTATGTTCATTTCAAGTGTTTAATTTGAAGGAAAACAAAATAATCGACAATATCTCTTCAATCAATTTGAGAAAAACAATAAAATCTATTGTGATCTACTAACATTGAGATTGTAAGTTAAATAAATATGTGTTGTGAATGTTAAACCTCTTTGTGTTATCACAGTTTCTATCACAGGTAGATCAGACATTTCAAGCAAAACTTTGATAAAGGCAGTATCATTTTACATTCTTTTTACATTTGAATAATTATGTAACACATTAATTTTACACTGCCGCTGAGAGAAGAAGAGCCCTGAATCCCAGCGCTGACAGTGAGCAGCGACAGCTGTAATATTGTTATGGGGTCATTACAGGCCATTGCACTCTGGGCTATGGGACATTACTGTAAGTCATTAGGACGGTTTGTCCCTGAGGTTTTATAGTCTTTTATTTTTAAAATGGGTTATACCTGTCCTCCCTTTGTCTGCTGTCACCTATGAAACATCCTGGTGAAATATGTTAACGTTTTAAAAGATTAAAAGATGATTATTTGAGGTTTTTCCTTTTGTTTTTGTTTATTCTGTTTGCTTGAGTTTAACTTTTAGCAATAACCATTGACGTCACAAATCATATCTTTAAAGGAAAACAAAATGAACAGCTGAACACTGCTAATGATTTACAAAGGGCTTCATAAACAGGTAGGGGTTGGAAACATGTGTGACTGAGGCTGTTAAAAAAAACCTGCTGATGGTTAAACTTCTAATGGCTTGTGCATTTCTTAATCACTTGAAATGATGCTGCATATAAATGCGTCGGACATTAGACTAAATATTCAGAATTAATTTCAGACTGAGGCGCTTTGTTTCAAGGTCATAGAGAGCAAAAGTCACTGTGCTGTTATCTGAGTTGTGTCATGAAGCATGTTCTATGTTAATGAAAGAACAATTGGTGTCGACGTTGTTTCCTTGTTCTTTATTAAAGGAGAGGTGTCATGGCCATTTCCACTGATCATAATTCCATTGTTGAGGTGTACTAGAATAGATTTATACTGTGCATTTTTCCAAACTCACATTGGTTTCTCATACAGCATCTCTGTAAACTACTTGTATTCACTGAATTTCACTCTCTGCCTTTAACGGCTCGTTGTAGCTCCCAAAGCTCCAGCCCCCACCCTCCCTGTGAGCACAGTGTGCTCTGATTGGTCGGGACGTTGTGAATCGCGCTGAGCTCCGTGGAGGTGTTGTTTCCTTGTTTAGGATACATAGCGAAACACAGCCAAACTCATCCTGAGCACACACAAACTCACATCCGAAGTAAAAACAATAAGTGTGGCTTGATATTGAGTAAGAAAAAGGTTGATAAACGCTGTGAGAATGGGTCTGCAGAGAGAATTTTGCCACGATCCCAACTGTCTGTTATCAGCCTGCAGCCAGGGAGGAGAAATCAGCTGAGCTGCCTGCTCCCTGCACACAGATGTGTGTGTGAGGAAGTCCGTGGATCGGTCAATTTGGACCAATCAGCGGGGGCTTAACGTAACGGCTCCGCGGACGTAACGTAACGGCTCTTCGGGATTGGTCGATTTCGTTCCGGGTACCGCTTGACATCATGCCGTACCCGGAACGAAATGGAAGACTCAAATGGGATCTCCAACGAGGCGTTTTGGGGAGGTATTTTCTGTGTTAGAGTTTTACTCGCTACAGGGTGTACTTTGAGGGTTTTGACTCTGCACACCGTTTACATGCATAAAAACCTTCATAACACACAAGGGGACGGGTAATAACCGGAAAAGCATGACACCTCTCCTTTAAGTCTCTAATCTCTCAGCTCGTAGCACTGGTGTCAAAACTCATGCCGCTACAGGCTCCGTGCATAATCAGTGGTGAGTTTATGACCTCAGTACCCGGCGGCGTACGCCCGCTTGCGATAATCTGACTGAGCGTGGAGTCCGTCTTCATAGCGAACCACCGCCTGCACCACAGCTATTGTCAAGTTCAGGTACTTTATCTCGTGGTTCTTCAATGCCAAACCTTCCAGGACGTTCTGCAAACAGGAGCAAATATGAAAGAAAACTGAATAAATGTGGCACGATGTTCAAGTTAGATCTTTTTAGCGTACAGCAGGGATAAAAAATGCCAAGTCTGTTCAGAGTGTTGGTTTTAAAACGTTTTGATAAATTGGGAATGATGCTCATTTTAAGAAATCATGTTGAGTAACGTCTGTGAAAATAAATCTTCAATTAAGCCAGTAATCACAGAAAACACTGAAGTGTGATGTGCTGCCCGACACACAATTGATAAGATTTCAAAATCATGCGTAATTAAGTGGTAGCAACAGAAGCTACATATTTTACATCCCAGTAAAAACATCAAATAAAGGGTTAGTTTTCTAGTTAATATCTTTCCATTAATTACCCTTAATGGTACATTTAAAATACATTACATTGAGATGAGCAAGTTTTACAGCAACCATACACGGTATATAGGAGGATTTGCCTATTTTTAGACAGACCACAAATAGCCCGTTACCACCACAAATTGCTGAAATATTTGTCTCCATTCTTCACACCCCTGAAGGTAGAAATAATGAAGACATTCTTGGGTAAGAAGTTAGAAGGGCTTTACTGTATGTTAGCTGGGCTTTTGTGTGAGGGATTGTCTCCCCACACACTCACATACGTCAGTGTTGTTTTTGTGACACTCACTTTGTCAAAGTCTGGTTCTGCTTCAGTGGCGTTGGGATCCAGCTGGTTGTGGAGCCTCGGCTCCGACACAGCTTTTTTCAGATCATAGTCAAAGAACAGTGCATTTAGAATCACCTTCAAAACAACAAGATTTTAGACAATTATAACCCAACAGAGTAATTAAATAGTTGAATTAATGCAACTCATTGAGATTAACTTCTTGCAATTTTACCTGAACGATAGAAGTTGTGATTTTCGTTCCTCCTGAGCCTCCGACCACCATCTTAACTTTGTTGTTTTTGTCAAAGAGGATAGTCGGACACATGGAAGACAATGGCCTTTTTCCTTTAAACAGAAATTACATTATATATAAGTTTAAGTATTTTATTGGTTTATGTTAAACATTATTAAAATAATGTGTATGTAACTACATCAAATATCTATTTAAAAACAAGTTGTATGTTGTATGTTTTGAATCTATTCCACATTGTATTCCAGATTAATAAACTTGAAACCCATAAAGATATACTTGGATTGAATATAGTAAAATCATAAAAGATAAGACCTTCCAGAGAGGGGTGGAAACATTTGATCCACATTTCTTTCGTATTAATCCAAAGACAAACATTATTTAAAAACATAATGCACAGTGTCGAGAAGAACAGATCGACCTCTGTGTACGCTACTGTCCAACAGCCAGTCTATGTATATTAAAACTACTGGTTTAAGAGCATTTCTGTGTGAGTGTGTGTGTTTTGTTCTGACCTGGTCTGATGAAGTTGTTCCGTGAAGGAGGCACTCCGAAGCCGTTTGTGATGAGCGGAGAGCTGAAGTCGTCCATCGCATCGTTGAGAAGTATCCCTGTTGATCTTGACATTACCTTGGAGCCGAAACTGCATGAAAACATTAACTGTTAAAGGAACATGACACATAAACCAACATTGCTAGACAAGAGATTTGTATAGGTCAGTTAGGAGGTCATACTGTAGGTTGATGGTGCTGGTGGCGGCCACAGCGCTTCCATCTTCTGCGATCACCGAGAGGTGAGAGGTCCCGTGGTCATCAGGAATGTAAAACTCTGGCTCGTAATAGTCCATGTGGTGTGTGGTGTCATCTGTGATCTTCTCACGGAGGTCATAGGCATAAGAACTTGAAGTCATATTCTTGATGAGCTTTGGAAGAGAAAGAGGGACACGAAAATAATTCATAGGCCAAAAGTATTACTTAGTGTGGTTTTTTGCAGTAAGTACTGATTTATGTGCTGGATAGTTGACCATTGTTCCTGCTTATCCATGACAGGAAAAGTCTGGTCACTCATGTGCATGGGATTAAGTAGCAGAGATTCACAGACTTTTAGAAAAGGAATTGCTCTTCATTCTACTAGTCGGTAGAGGTTTAACTTTGATTAGTATATAATATAACAGGAGCAAACACTATCCTAAATAATAATTACCAAAGTATTCTTAAATTATAATAAAATGCCTCTATAATAATAACAACAATTGCCTTTTAAATAATAAACACACACCTCTTTAATTTAAAGTGGACCTATCATGCTATATTATAATAATATAGTGTAAGACCATACCTATATAAGGCATATTTATACTTTTTTTTTTTCAAAATAATCAAACAGATCATGCATTTTAGCCATGCCTCATTTCGCTCAATTTGCACTTTTTTTAGCCCTGTTTTTGCAAGGGCTGATTCTGTGAGAACAGCACCACCTACAGGCCTGGCATATGTACTACAGCGTCTCCAGCGCTTTCGAATGGCAATGGCCGTGGCTGTCTCCTCCTGATTGGTGGAGTTGGCCCAATAGCCGTAGCGCCACCGTCCTGACGTCAGGACAGTGTTCAAATCTGGATCAGTTTTTATCAGATCCGTTGCAGCCCCTTTTTTAGAGATTTGGGTATGGAGGAAAATAGAGAGGGTTGTGTTTTCTGACACTTGGTGAGTTCCCTGGAACACCGGGGACACATATTCATGTATAAATGACGTACAAAAGTGCATTTTGCATGATTGGTCCCCTTTAAGTGAAATATGCATGAGAGGGGTTTTTAAAGAAAAATAAAGCAAACACAAAATAAAGCTTGTGGCATTAGGTGATCATTAGGCAAGCATACGCTCATGAACATAAATAAAATCTGCCATGGTTCCTTGGAGAAAGGTGTCATTTAAATGTCACTATACTATACTGTAGGTTTCAGAAATCCCAGTAAATCAAAGACAGCAAAGAGGTCTCAACAGGACTTAAAGACAAGAGTTCCTGACAATATCTGCTGAAATTAAGTCTTCATTAAGTAGAGGATCACAATAACCTTGGTGTGCAATTCCCCACCTACTGTAAGCTCTGAAGCAAGGGGGTCATCACAACCCGATTAGCCAAGAGGGGAAATACACTAAATTACCACAGAACCTAAAACCAACCCTTTAACTGTTTTAAGCAGATACCAAGACCTTACATCTGTGATGTTGAGAAACTTTGGATCCCCAAGTAAGGTCCTCTTTGCATACGCAAAACGAAAAGCCTCCACGATGCGATGGTAGGTTAGGATCTTCTTCTCTGTGCTTGACACGCTTTCTGCGGTGAAGTTGTACCCTGTAGAAAATAAAACAATCATCAGTCACACGTTTACTTCACAGCTTCAGTCATCTGTCTCCATTCAGATGCTGTTCAGGTATAGGAGAGGAGACAGCTATAATGCATTTGACCCAGCCGTTTCTGTTCCTGTGTTTTTATTTAGTCTAAAAGCCGCTGTGACCAGACTATGGGTATTACCCTGAGCTGACAGCCGCAGGGGGAACAGGAGGAGAGGCTGAGGGAAGAGAGACTTTTAGTTTGATGGGTTTCAGCTGTCAGACAGAGGCAGGAGTCACAGTAAATCAGCGGGATGAACGTTTTGGGAAGGCACTGAAATGTGTCCGTGGAGCTTCCACCACAGGACTGTGTCCAATTAGAGGTAAATTGGTAAGATTAGTGTTAGCGTGGGAGGCAGGCGGCCGCCGTGTGTGGGTGGCCGGTCAGAGGAAAGGAAAGGTTCACAGAGATTAATTACTTTAGACGAAAGTTTCTTGTCTTATCCTGGAGGCCAGACACTGTCACTGTACTGAAAACAGAGTCAGTGCTCAACATGGATAGTTCTCTGCAATGAACAGCCAACATAAGAGAAAGTTAAACCAGCCAGATATGATTTATGATTATTTGATGGAAATGATGATGGACCAAGTTAGCGATGATTAGATTAGCAACATGCTCATAAACTTTGCTGATCACACTCTCAGGTGTGATTACACAGATCACAATTATCTTTGGATCTTAATAACTTCCATCAAACAAAAGCCCTTCTGTCAGGGTTACACAGTCATTCCCTCAGGTGTTTTAACTTCATTCTCTAAATTGGAGGAAGTAACGAGATATTGTTTTTGTAGCTTATTGGTTTTTCTGTTTTTGAGACACCATCTGTTATTGTTGAAGCATCAACAATCTAAGTCCTCATACCTAAAAGACAAAGTATGTTTGTCAGTGCGTTCTTCCATCAAAACAATAACACATCATATAAAGTTGTTCTGATCCATCACATCTTTTGTAAAATAAATACTTTGACTTGACTTTGATTTTAGGAAATATGCTTATTCCCTTTCTTGTGAATAACTCATAAGTGTAAGTGTTCAAAATTGCCCTTGCAGCCGAGTAAATCACCATAATGAATTGCGCCCTAATGACCGCCCTGCATGAATGTCTGTACTAAATGTAATGGCAAGCCATCCAATAACTTTTAATATTTTGCCCAGAAGCACATGGCTGGTGCTGCTGGATGAAAGGCTGCGGTCAGTAAAGCCATTAAAGGAAAGGTTCAATATGTTCCAAGTCTGTCCTCAAAGAATGGTCAGGTTCCTAAATGAGGTTGTCATGTTATAGTTCATACTGGTTATACTGGTCTTCAAAAGATCATTTTCAATGTGATTTTTAAAAGGGATGAGGGACAAAATCCACAATACTCTGTGCAAACTTTATTCCACAGTGTATAATGTGCTTTCTAACGCACTTTCATTACAAGCATCCCTCATTGAAAAAGCATTTCAAATTTTAATGACCAGTATGAATTTTAAGAAATGGCAACATTTGCTTCAATGCTCAAATCGGTATCTGACTGTTGTTTTAGGCTGGGAAAATATGTGTGAGCCATGAATTTATGTACGATGGGAAGAATTATGGTCGCGGTAAAAACATACAAACATTGACAGTTTGACAGGAGTTTTTGCAGCATGATAACAGTTTCACACATCTTCTGCCTGATTTAATATGAGAAATAAAGAGTGTTTCAGTGCTACATCTCATGATTCATGACATATTATAATAGTGCATGCTTTAGATACCCAGTTAGCTAACTTAAAGTCAACATTGCTTTTATTTAGTAGATGTACTGTACAGTAGAGCCACATGCCCTCAGTGGAGTCTGAGAGAGTGACTGGTAAAGTGAAGGCATCTCACATTAAAGCACTCCCACTCAGGACGTTTTTGGACAAAGTATCAAGGCTTACCATTCAAGATGTTTAATATCAGTGAGAGCACAGGGCCGCTAGCGGGGGCATTGGGAACAGCCATGTTGTACTCCCCCACATCCACCCTTAAAGGGTTCTCGTCCAAGACAGGCACATAATCCTTCAGATCCTCCATTGTGATGATGCCGCCTAAACACGGATTGACACACACTGTGAATGCACACAAGACACGGCTGGAAAAACAAATCATCCTTAAATGGAAATGAGCTGTGCCAAGAGAGGTGCATGTTAGCATATTTTATTATATCTCCTGAAGCCTTTTAAGCAAATGAATTTTAGTGATAAGAAACTTGGCAGTAAGGATGATAACCATAATGTCCTTGTGTGTGAGATTACTTTGCTCTGTGGGTAGGGAGGAATGATATCATCTGCAGAAATACTTTTTTAGATTGTAAAATAAATTAAAAAACGATTTAAACTGTTTTACTATGTAGGACAAAAGTGGAAACTTGCTACTGCTATCATGCATTTTATTCTAACAATGACATCAGCATGTCTAAACCAATATGATTCAATATATTTATATATATCAACAATATCCCAAAATAAATAAAAAATAAGAATACTACCTGCTGCCTGAATATCATCCACAAGGCTCTGGGCCAGTGGTCCATGGTAGAAAGCATTAGGACCCTCCTCTGCTATTTTCCTGTACGTTTCTGCAAGCTTGGTAAATTTGATGGTGTCATTCTCTTTCAGGATGTCACCATTTCCCCCACAAAACACTTCACTGAAAAGGAGAACAATAAAGATGCAGATTTTAATACAGCATGCTTTAAATTAGTATGACTCAGAGGCATTAGCCAGTGAGGTTATCATAAAATGATACAAGGCTTCTTCGGTTGCCTCTCACCAAAGAGCTGTGTCCTTTCTGATGGTTTCCCTTTCGCTGGACAGAGCAAAGGCGAGTGCCCTGCCCAAAGGAAAACCATTTACTGCAAGAGCAATGCTCGGCTGGAACAAGTCCCTCCAAGGCAGTTTGCCGTGTCGTTTGTGCGCCATTTCATAACCTCGAATCACTCCAGGTACAGCAACAGACAACCCTCCTACCGACCATGGAAATTAAGATTTAAATTATTGCCTCATAAGTTATTTGGACAATTTGTAGGGCACTGGTAAAAATACTACTGTGGGATTTGACCTGGAAGACTCAAACTGTTGTGGTTTTTCCTGGGTTTAGAGCTCTCAAATATTACACACATTACATTTAGCTGACACTTTTATCCAAAGCAACTTACAATAAGTGCAATAAACACTATAGTTACAAACTCCTCAGAACAAGGAAAATGCAGATATATTCATTTCAAACAAGTCAAACCATTGCAAGTGCTGGTAAATTAGTATAGAATGGGCTAAACCCTTTAAGGTCATACAAATGTGATTCTTCCCCTAACTATTTTACATTTGTTTGCAACTGATTTTTTCTTTTTTTAAGAAATTCATTTGCAGTCAAGAAGACTGAATTCTACAGATGTGTAAGTGCACTTTCTCTTTTGTCTGTCACTATTAGGTCTTTCATAATATTAACTGAAACTTCCGCCAGCTCTTTTCTACATCTGATAGCACCGGTTAAACATTACCGTCCTGGGATAAATCGTTACTGTTCCCAAACATGTCCTGCGTTGCATTGCGTGGAGCCGTCTCCCTGGCGTCAATCGTCTCAACCAGTCCTATGTACGTCACAAATCAGGAATTACATTTAGGATTAAGATGATGAGCAAATGGTATGAGTTTGCAGCTTCAGTGATTAAGGAAACAGAAGAAGCTTTCGTGGTGGTGAGGCATGTCTTAGTAAAGTTGTACCAGTTGTGGCGTTGTAGATGGTTAGGAAGAGTCCTCCTCCGATGCCCATACTGTGAGCGTTCATAAGTCCAACACACAGTAAAGCAGCTATAGAGGCATCTACTGCAGAGCCCCCTTTCATCAGTATGTCTCTGCGGTAAAATTAATTAAAACACAAGAAGGGAAGGGGTGGAGGATTAGTTTTTGCACTAAAGACCTTAAAGAGGACAGTAAAGACCTTAAAGAGGACAGTAAAGACTTTAAAGAGGACATATGGTCCTTTTCAGGCTGACATTTGTATGTTGTGCCTCTACTGCGACATGTTTACATGCTTTAATGTTCAAAAAGTGCTTTATTCTTCTCATACTGCCTGTGCTGCAGCACCACATCTCACCTTCTGTCTGAAATAAACGCTAGCCAATAGAAGTGCGTGTGTTACATAGTGATGTCATTATGTTACTGAAGTAAACAAAGGAGTCCAATGGAGGCATTTTAGGCAAGGGGGGAGTGTGTGGGAGAGAAACTCCCTCTGGAGGGAACTCTGGGATGTTTGCCTTTGCAGACCATTTACATGCACATGACAAAGGGAAAACCCCAAATAGCATTAAGACCCTTTGTTGGAAAATAATAAAACATGTTCACATGGATTTGCAAGGTGATGTGCAAGCAGTTTTCATGCCTGTGTTTATGCATGTGTGAGTACAGAAGAGCAACATGTCTGCCGTTCAGGATGTTCGAGTGTGTGCGCTCTCACCTGCCGACCTCTGAACACGGCCCAGCGTCTGCTGCCACCGCTGCCTTCTGGTACACATGCTCAGCCGGTATCTTCCTTTTCCCCAATGTGATGGCTAACACTATGATGCCTGACACTACGGCGACTAACAGCAGCACGGTTTTCGTTTTCATTTTTGTAGCGCAGGAACAATAAATGCTTTATGAAATACCTGTCAGGAAGCAAACATTTGTATACATTAAACCTGTCAGTGTATGCAAAGGCAGCTGCAGAGAGCTGCATTTTGTTACATCTGTGTTACATCACAAAATAAAATAATATTGTATTATCAACAGAATAAATACATTTTGAAGAAATGTTAAGCCATTTTATAAGCCACATGTTTTCTGATCTTTGTTCAGTTTTTATGGAAACTTTTGCATTTACAAATTAAAGCCAGGATTTGTCTTTCTTTGTTTATTCTACAAAATTAGATTTGTAGAATAAACACTTTAGGACGTTTGACCGGAGGATTTCTTTACAGTTTTTTTCAATTGCTAAAACAAAACAACATTTTGTCAAAACACTTAACACAATTCACAAATCCACACACCCAAAGTGCAAAACACCTCATATATCTTGCAAAATGAAGCACTGCACTCAAAACTACATAAACACTTAACAAAACCTAACCTTTGCACCAAATGGCACACACTTCACTTATAGTATACACTGTAAGAAACGTACCGTGAAATTCACAGTATTTAACTGGCAGCAATTGACAAGTTACTTACTGTAAAATGAATTACAGTAAGTAACTTGTCAATTGTTGCCAGTTAAATACTGTAAAATGAATTACAGTAAGTAACTTGTCAATTACTGCCAGTTAAATACTGTAAAGGTGATCACAGTATTTACAAGTTTTTATTTACAGTAACAGTGTAAAATGAAACACAGTAACTTCCAAGTACTGTATTTGTGTTTACGGTAATAGTGTTTTAACTGTAAAATGAAACACAGTTAATAGCATTTACTTTATTTTGTATTACAGTAGTAGTATTATAGCTGTAAAATGAAACACAGTAACTTCCAAGTACTGTATTTATGTTTACGGTAATAGTGTTTTAACTGTAAAATGCAACACAGTAATATTTAATTACTTTATTTTTTGTAACAGGAGTAGTGTTATAGCTGTAAAATAAAACACAGTAATTTCCAAGCATTGTATTTTTATTTAAGGTAATAGTATTTTAACTATAAAATAAAACACTGCCATTTAAAAAGTACTGTATTTTTGTTTACGGTAATAGAGTTTCAACTGTAAAATAGAAACTTTAATGCTATCATTTTAAGTTACAGTATCAGTATTGTAACTGTAAAACAATTTATTATAGTATACTTCATGTCATGCTGGTAATTTACATATTACCAGAAATTCTTGACACAATTTTAAAGCTCACCAATAACTGCAGGGAGACAGCAAACAATACATTTTAACAATGTATTCTTAATTGTTGAATGGTATCAAGACCATGTAGTTTCTTGTGCTAAATGATAAATATTTTCATCCATAAAACAATCGATATTAATATCCAAAAACATGGAGATTGCATTTTTAAAACAGTGGCGATAACAAATCAACACAAAAAATATGAAGCCATTTCTTCTGCCAAGCCATTTTAGAGACGTGCTGTAGTTGAAAAGGTCACGACCTCGACACACACTGGAGAACCCAAATGCACGACACAGAGACACAGTCTTGAATGTAACAAAAATTGTCTTTTTAATGTCATTGAACAGAAAATCCCTCTTAACAGAGTAAGTACTGGAATAACAAAAAAAACGCTCACAAGGAGGAAAAAACTAAGCATAATAAAAAGAGAACTTAAGATAAACTTAAACTAACAAAACCTAACAAGACTGGAAACGATCCTCTCTTTGCTGAGGCCTGGCACGACCGCACGTGGGAACAAACAAGACGAACTGACACGGGACAGAGGGGAGACAGGACTATTTAAACATGAGGTGAGTGGGAAGAGGTGGAAACAATCAGGGGCGGGGCAGACGCTGACGATGGTGGGAAAACACACAAAGGGAGGAAGTAACAGGGCCTGAAATGAGAGACAAGAGGTAAGTACAAAATGAAACAGGAAATGGAAAACGAGACACGACATGAAACACGGGGACTTAACTAGAGATGAATGACATAAATAGACAGACCTGACATGACGTGAATAAACATGAAAACCTGACTAAACATGAAATGACAGACATAATACATAAACATAACTAACACATTTGACGAGACACAACAAAAGGCACTGTTTGGCAAATACATTATCACTATTCTTAGATAATACACAATATTTTAAAACACTTTGAATACAAACAACCAAATGCATGCAGGAATGGACCCTGTACTGAACTTACAAACCTTACACGTGTAAGACATTTTGATAAGCATGCCGAGTACAGTTAGCTTAACTTGCTTTTTCACTAAGCAGCCTGACGTCGGACTGTCAAACTTTGGCTACGGTTACATAAATTAACTGACAAAATTGTTTGTATTAGTTACTTTCTTTGTCTCTTGAGTTACCATGTCCATTGGGGGAGGTTACTTCCTGGTTCAGCAAAGGGCGTGGCCGAGCGCTGAGGACTCATAAATACTGCAAGGACCAAATTGGGACAGATTGGGACAAACCACCTGCTTCCATGTTAAAGGGGGGATTTGGGTTTTGTCAGTGTCCTTTGTGTTTTCTGTTACTATTAATTATCCCTTGGTTTCAACTTGGTTTGGCCAAGCCACTATATACTGTAGGTTCCTTGGTTTTTCTTTGTAGCAGGTCAGTTTGTTGAGTTAACACCTGTTAAGTTGATGCCATGTTTCTTTGAGGTATTTTCTGTTGACCTCTTTTATAGGCCTAGTTATTAGAAATGATTGATTTATGATGTTTTCTGTGGACTTTTGGGTAAATAAAAAACCCAGTTTATTTAAACCATTCCTGTGTCCTGTTGTTCATACCTCTCACTGTTTATTCATCATTCAATTCATTCTATATTTTATTGTGTACATTACTTTTCACTTTACTGCTTTTTGCACTCCTGGTTAGAAGCTAAACTGCATTTCGTTGTCTCAGTACCTGTAATATGTGCAATAACAAAGCTGAATCTAATCTTGAGCAGGAACAAATGTATTTACTTATCTGACATTAACGATTAAACACATTTGTGCATTCTTTATAAATGCAAACTGGTCAAGACCACTGACGGAAGTAGTTTTGAAAAGTAATAAGTGGTTCTGTCTTTTACATGTAGGATTCAACCCCCCTTGTATTGATTTGTTTTAAAATGAACAGACACTTGAGTCATTCATTTGTAGTGATATAATAATTGTGGGATTTCTATTGCATCCACTTCATCTGCAACGAAGAAAGCCAACGCAATTTCCGCCATTGCAAACCGAGTCAAGCCGACTCTGAGCTGTCCGACTTCAGGCGAGCTTTTTGAGACCTCCCCCAGCTGCAATCCGCTATTCTCGTCTACTTTCGAGGCGACCCGCAGCTCATCTCAAACAAGCCTATTTTTTTCTGTTGACCGTTTTTGTCCCTATAGTTTGTCGTTAGTTTTTGTTTATTAAATATTGTCAGACTATATTACTTCGGTGTGGACTTTCTCTTTGAAAACGCGTCACAGCCTATAGCCAAGCTCAGCCTCTCTGCGACTCAAACTGGACTGGGAATTGAGCCGCCACAATAATAATAAAATTGATGATTATTACCTTACTTTTGTCTATTTTTATTCCTCTGTGTTGCGTTTTAAGGTGCAATGCCAAGACACATTCTTTGTATGAATCAGCATCACATTTGTAGTTCTTCCGGTTTGCAAATACATACGCTCTTAAAAATATATATCTACTAAGTATATACAATATCTAGTATAGCCAAACTAGTAATTACACTGCATCAAGATTATGTATATTAAGAAAAATATGTTGGTTTATTTAAGATATTTTAGATATTCTAGAAATGGGGTTTTTCGGTTGGTTCTTTCTTTTTTGGTTACTGTGATCTTCTACAGTACATTGTTGGTTACTGTGATCTTCTACAGTACATTGTTGGTTACTGTGAATATCTACAGTACATTGTTGGTTACTGTGAATATATACAGTACATTGTTGGTTACTGTGAATATATACAGTACATTGTTGGTTACTGTGATTTTATACAGTACATTGTTGGTTACTGTGATTATCTACAGTACATTGTTGGTTACTGTGAATATCTACAGTACATTGTTGGTTACTGTGAATATCTACAGTACATTGTTGGTTACTGTGATTATCTACAGTACATTGTTGGTTACTGTGAATATATACAGTACATTGATGGTTACTGTGATTTTATACAGTACATTGTTGGTTACTGTGATTTTATACAGTACATTGTTGGTTACTGTGATTTTATACAGTACATTGTTGGTTACTGTGATTTTATACAGTACATTGTTGGTTACTGTGAATATATACAGTACATTGGTGGTTACTGTGATTTTATACAGTACATTGTTGGTTACTGTGCTTTTATACAGTTGGGACGTTACTACTGCTATTTCTACAGTAACTCCAGAGTTGCTGTAATTTTTGGTTGGAAACACGGTATTATACTCTAAAATGGTATACAGTAATTTACTGTGCACAAACACTGTAAATAACTGTGGATTTCACAGCCATTTTTTACAGTGTACAATACACTTTGTCCAACCAACTACACACTGTGGTTCTTTATCTAAAGTACACTCATTTTTTATGGTGATCTGTATGTAGAGAATTCTGCATAAAAACTTTGTTAAAGTCTACCAAAATATGTGCAGAAACACAAATATGCAGTTGTTATACTTTAGTTTTTCTCCAAAACAAATTGGTGCAACATTCCTGCACAACACATAGTTACAGTTGTGTACACAGAAATTATGCCTTTGTCAAATACAGTAAAGTGAAAAGAAAACTTTGAGGAAAAATAAATACAAAAAATATTTTAAGAAAAAGCCGAGGAGAGATAAATACTTTGGCAGAATTGTACCACCTCAATGGGTCTGGCTACAGCTCCTCATCAACCTGCAGAAGAAGCATCCCCTGTAGCCTGACAGTCAAACAGCTCCAACCGTTATGCTGCAAATACTGTAACTCTTCAAATTACTTCATTTCCCCCTGCCTCTCACTCTTAGAGGTGTGAAATCCTCCCTCTTCCTCTTCCTCTTCCTCTTGCTGCTGTCCATATATCCGTTGTTGTTTTTATAAATGTCTTACATGAAGCCTTTTTCTAGTTCTTACATGCTGATAAATGAGTCAACAATAAAGCAGTTTGGTGTTTATGGTCATTTGGCATGTGTATTTGTTAATTGCTAATGTGTAGCATTTTTAATGGCAGTTTTTTGAAAATGGCAAACAGATTTCTGTGTCTTACTTAGAGAACCGTGTGCAGTGTTTTGCAAAAAGTGCCAAGTTGAATTGCAAATTGGGTGCAGAGCTGAACATTTGTTTAGAGTTTTAGAGATTTGAGCTCAGGTTTTGCTCTTTGAGTATGAGTTTAAATAATGATGCTTTATGTGAGAT